ATGCCTGCAAGTCGACTCTAGAGGATCCCCTCTTACCCAAAAATGATAGGCAATAAATACATCATTTATCGGGATAGATAACATTTCAATAACATAAATACAAATACTAAAAGAATAACAATTTGAAAAACAAAATATCCAAAACATTAACATATTTTAAAATGACAATTTTTTAAAATACCATTTGAATTTCAAAATAGAATTAATATTAAAGACCTTTTAAAAACAACCCAAATATAACAAATCACAACACATTAAAACTATCCAACGATGACAAATAAATCAAAAGAGGTTCAAAATTTACAATAATAATTGTCAAAACGTGATACACACAACACAAATTATAACTTCAACTTTGCCATGAAACAAAACAAAGTTAACAATCATATTTTTTTCACGCCAAAAAATTAAAAACGTTCGTGAGTAGAATTAATTCAGTCTTTTTTAACATCAATTATGTATAGATTTGAACTGTTTTGGTTTTTTGATTGCAACAAACCAATTTGACAAAAAAATACAAAAACATTAATTTATATAGTTTGGTTTTTAGTAAAATTTACTAGACTTGAAACTATATATTTTATAAAAAAATTCTAACACTTTTACTATATTATTTGAATTAAATAAATTATACTATTATAATCATAAACAATTAAATAATAAACTAATACATTAAAAATGATTTAGCTATTTGGTACAAGTTTATATATTCATTGGGTATGGTTGTTTTGTAAGCCTTGTGTATGAGTTCATTCTTGCATTTCCCCGTTTGTCTTTTAGGATCGATTCACCCTATTCCAATTAATGTTGTCTAGGAACCTTTCTCCTCTTCAGTCCTTAGATATTTTTTCCTCTTCTAAGTATTTGCTACTTCCACCAAGATCTGTACTCAAGTCTGTTTCAATAGAAATTACTTCTCTGCCTTTATCACTCACGTATTCTTGACACCATGCATTTCCTTACTCCTCGTGTGCCTCAGCCTCCACAAGGATACAATATCACTTCTCTCATTATAATACCTTCCATTTTCAGGCTTATCCATTCGATCGGTGAGTTGTTACACACTCCTTAGCGATTTCCAACTTCCATGGCCATCAACCTGGATTCAATGTGAATGAACCCCTTTTATGGTTCTCCTCATGCAAGACTTGGATACTTTATCTGTATGTTCGGTTCATCCCGCATCGCCAGTCCTGCTTACCAGACTTGGCCGATTTGAAGTCCGCATATGCTCACTCCTAATAAATGTTTATCGTTTAGGATATCTCGACTATTCATAGTTTGTTAAAATGTTGAAAAGTCAAGCTCTCCATTACATCCAATCATTATCTTTACCAATCTTCACTACTTTCTCACTTCAACCTTCCTAAGGGAATATTCAGGTGGAACCAGCTACTAGATAGTTCGATTAGTCTGTCGCCCCTATACTCATATATTGCAAGTAATTTGCACGGTAACACTCCTTAGTCCTTCTACCAAAGTTTCCTTCGGTTTCAAACACCACAAGCATAGGTCACAATCTTTCGGGTTCCAACAGTTTAACTCTAGCCTTTTCTAGGTCACTCCTGCTATATGTTTAGTCCTTCGTTTTCGCTTCATATCTGGGCTTTCTTCCCTTCCTCTCCTCTTGGGGAAACTGAAAACGTTTCTCCAAGAGGCATAATTATTTCAATTATTAATCTTTGTCAAATATTTTTACAGATTATCTATTTATATTGTGTTTTTTCATTGTATTTTTGGTTTGTTTCATTTTATATTTATAAAATGGATTTTTTTCAATGTAAAATAAAATAAATATTTTGGTCGAAAAAATAAGAAGCAAATATTGTTTGGATTGTCTATCAAAATGAAAAACACATTTTTTGAAACACGAAGTTAATATTTAACACACAAAACAAAGATTGTTTTTAACACTTAAAATAAACTTGTTTTTTAATAAACAAATTTTATTTTAGTCTTAATTCAACAAACTATTTTTTATAGTTCAATAACCATTGTTATTAATTCATTTTCTCTTCAAAAATTAAGTAAAACATGACTGTTTTATTTATCAATAATTTGTTTAATTATTTACAACAAAATAGTGTTATTTTTTATGTAAAACACTCTATTTAAGAGGGACAACTTAATTTTATCAAATGCAATCACAAATTAAAAATACTTTAAAAAGCCCGTTTGTTGGTATTTTTATGTTCAAATTAAATACAATTGTGCAAAAAGAATTATCAATTGACAATGAAAACAAACTCATTTTGGAATTTGGAATATATATTTAGTCAAATAAAGCATCGAAAAAATTAATTAATAATATATTAAAATAAACTTTAATAAAACCATCTTCTTGTCTTCCTATTTAACTTAAAACAACATCATTTTTTTAAATTAATCTTTTTTAAGCATTTTTTTCAACTTAATAAAATGGTAAAATGTTATATCATTTCAAGTAAAATATATATTATTTCCAAGCTATTTGTTCATTTGTGGTAAAAAATAATTTTTTTCATCTTGTTATCACAAAAATATTTTTTACCAATTTATCGACTATAAAACTGTGGAATTATTTCCAAAATAAATATCATGACCCAAATATGTTTTTTATTATTTATATACAAATAAAAAAAAGCATTTCTGAACAACAATTAAATTCATGTTTTTATCAAATTACTAGATATATATTGTATATTATATTATAATCCATTATAATACATAATAATATATTTTTATAATACATAATAATATATTATTATAATACATAATAATATAATATATTTAATTCAAATAAAGAAAAAAAATGGACACGGGGAAGAAATATGGGAATATTAGGGAAGGAGGTAATTTGTGGTTTAGGGGCGTCCTCCCGCTATTAAGGACGTCCTCCTGTGTATAAAATTATCCTTTTTGTTGTGTCTACTGTGTTTTTAAAACTATATAACGAGTTATATTTTTATTATTAATTTACTATCAAAAATTATAATTATTTCCAAAAATACATTTCATCATGGATAAACGCAAAACAATTAGTAATTTTGTTACAAATTAATAGTTAAAAAACTAATTAACCTTAGGATGTTTATTTTTTTATTTTTTTTTTGTTTTTTGTGAAAATCATTTTCCACCTGTTGAGTATGAAACCGATTTAATTAAATCATTGCCCAAATTCAAAGAAAAAGAGGAAAACATCAATTGCTAATTACCTTTTTAAAATATGTATCCAACTTAACTCAAACTTCCCTGGCAAGTTGCAGTCATAACACATTTCATTCAATCACTTGGACCAAGACACCAGGCTGTTTTTCCGCATTTATTGAAACCACTTGTGACTTCTTTGCTGGTATTTTTGAATTTTTCGACTCTGTGGTCATCACACTGCCAGCTGTGTCTATCTCAAATGTTAATGGTAGTATCATTAAACAACAACACTTTGTCTGTTGCCTTCCACTGGTTGTCAAAAGAGCAACTTATTCAGCAACACTATATAAAACATCTTTGTTTGGTCAGTGGATTGTTTTATTTTTTAGTTTTTTTAGAATATAACTTTATTTTTGTAAATTGATAAATAAAAAAATTGTTATTACAAAACTCGAAAATATAAATGTTTTTGTCTACAAAAACTGTGAAAGAGAAACAAGAACCCTTATATTTTTGGGAAAAAATGAATGTGAGAATTGATAATGTACCAGAAGTTGACCCAGTACAATTCCAGACCATTCAGCAAGATCGAGACTTTACTGATTACTTTAAAGTGTTTTTTAGTGACGAAATGAAAGATATTATTATTGAATCAACTAATTTGGCTGGGAAGGTTTTATATGAAGAGAGATGGAAAGACCTAAATGTAATCGAATTAAATTCATTCATTGGGTTTTTGTTATATATGGGGGTTGTCCACGATTCAAAAAAGAGTCTCAATTATCTTTACAACCGAATTGATGGAAACAAATTTTACAGAGCGATAATGTCAAAAACAAGATTCTTGCAGATCGTGAATTCTTTGAGGTTTGATAAGTTTGCAGGGGAAAGAATAAAAAAAGAAAGAAAGAAAAAAGCAATGGAAGTTGATAAAGTGTATACAAAAAAGTGGAAAAGAAGAATGAGAAGAAAAGTTATGGAGATTACACATATATCAGAACTGCAAGATGAAGTATTGAATGAAAAGTTGATAACAAACACTCAACAATGGGTTGATATTGTAAAAGCAACACAAAACTCAGAAAGTGACTCTTCAAGTGAAGAAATTGAAAAAGAAGACGAAAATTTGGTTTTGGAGGACGAAGATGAAAATGTCAACGAGGAAAGTGGTCTTTTAGATGAAGAGTCTTGTGTATTTGATAACAAGCACTATTTTTTGTGAGTACATTCTTTGAGATTTATATTTCAAATATGAGATCTTAAACCAAAAATAACTCATTACAAAGTTCATTTTGCATAGATGAACAACTGGTGAAATAATTTGGTCATTGTAAATTTACCCAAATTATACTAACAAAACCGGGAAAATACGGAATGAAGTGTGGACAATGGTTGACAACATTTCTGGTTTGGTGTATAATTCGGAACTATATTTAGGAAGTGTTGCTGATAATGAAGAAAATTACATTGAAAATTTGGTGATAAAAATGATTGATACTTTGATATTACCAGATTTTTTGGTTGGAAACAAAACAACGTTGTATATTGATAATTTATTTACAACAGTGGATCTTGCTGTCAGATTAAAACAAAGAAATATTGACGTGGTTGGAACTTGCCTTAAAAACAGGACTTTTGTGCCATCAATTTGTCGAGAAATCAAACCTTACAAAAGTTTTATTTGTTTAGTATTGGTAAAACAAGCAGCAACAGACTAACCACCAACACACCTCCTTTTTATTTTGAATTATTTTGACAAAAAGAAAAAGGCAGTTACAATGTTGACTTCAAAAAAGAATTCATGTTTTTTGATAAAATAAAATGTATTTTTGGGATTCAAAATGCATACAACAAGGGAATGGGGGTGTTGATATGGTGGATAAAATGGTGAGACACTTCAGTTGCAAAAGAGGTACAAGAAGATGGCCATTGGCTTTATTTTTCAATTGTTTGGATATTTGTGCATATGACGCTTTCAAAATATCGGGAAACTCGACAAGAGAATCCTTTTTGTTGAGTTTGGCCAAACAAATATGTAAACCTTATGCTTTGGATAGAGTAAATAAGTCAAAAAGAAAAAATTTGGGCAATCTTCTTGAGCTCGAAGTTATTACCAGAAGTGACTTTCCTGCACTGTTTACTCAAACTAGTGCAACAGAAACATTTCAAATACCAATTTGTTGCTTTGTTCCCCGTAAAGTGCTTGTTTCTGAAACACCTTACGTGAAAATGGAAAAATACAAAAAGAGAACCGTGAATCAAATGGCAACTAAGATGGAGATGTTGTTTATAAACAACGAGGTAGAAGAGTTGGATCAACCAAACACGATCCATTAGAAGTCAAATTTGCTACCCTAAAGAATTGTTGTTGTTGTGGTTCCGTTGATGGGTCTAGAGGCTCTATCGCGAGAAGTTCAATTGGTTGTTATTTTTGCAAAGACCCAACTTGTAGTCTTCACCGTGTTACTCTTTGCTTAAAGTGTTACAATTAATTTGTTTTTATTTTAAAGTAATAACAAAATTTTTAATTAATTTTTGTTTTTTTATGAAAAAATAACGATTTATTTAAATCAGTTTCATACTCCTAAGGTTAAAATTTAAATTAGTTTTTTTGGGTCACTTCGAATAACTTTGTAAAGACAAGTAAATCACATAAGTCGACTTCCTCGATCTTCGGCTCCTTTGTGTCGCTCTTATTTGTGCCCAATTGTTGTGCACCAGACATGTTACCAGCTGCTGCATACTGTTGATAATTTTTGAGTGAGATTGGCTGGATCTTAGCCTCAGCTTCCTTCTGTTTCTGTATGTATTCATCATTTGATATTGATTGGTTATTGTCGAGCCAGTCGAGTGTCTCTTGGATGGTTGTTTCAATTGCCGCCTTGTCATCTGGTGAGAGCTTTGTTGCAATTTGTTCGTTGAGTGTGTTTTTCATCGAGTAACAGAAGTTTTCAAGTATATTCTTCCCCTCAACAAGCTCCTTCATCTTGTCGTCCTCTGCCTTGAACTTCTCTGCGTCTGCAACCATCTTGTCGATCTGCTCCTTTGAGAGTCTTCCCTTGTCGTTGGTGATTGTGATCTTGTTCTTCTTTCCTGTTGTCTTGTCCTCAGCTGAGACATTCAGAATCCCATTTGTATCAATGTCAAATGTGACTTCAACTATGGGACTCCACGTGCTCTTGTGATTGATGTGTAGAAGTCGATGCCTTCATACAACTGGTCGACTTCGATGTTTGCTGTTGCTGCCAATGACGGTGTTCGCTTTGCCCTTTCACACGATGTTCTGAGTCTTCTGACAGCTCGTGCATTGCCTGAAATGTCTTTCTTGTACTTTCTCTTGAACTCGGCAATGAAGTGGTTGACCATTTTGTCATCAAAGCCTTCGCCAACAAGGTGTGTGTTGCCGTTTGTTGCCTTCACTTCAAAGACGCCATCGTCAATAGCAAGAAGTGAGACATCAAATGTTCCACCACCAAGATCAAAGATCAAGACGTTCTTTTCTCTCTCCGTCTTCTTGTCAAGTCCATATGCTATTGCTGCTGCTGTTGGCTCATTGATGATTCTGAGCACATTGATGCCTGCAATTGTGCCCGCATCCTTTGTTGCCTGTCGCTGTGAATCGTTGAAATAGGCTGGACATGTGATGACTGCGTTGTTGACTTTCCCACCAACAAACGCCTCTGCTGTCTCCTTCATCTTCGCCAACACCACCGAACTGATCTCCTCTGGTGTGAACTTCTTAGTCTCTCCCTTTTACTCCACCTGAATCAATGGCTTGTCATTGCCATTGTTGACAACAGTGAATGACCAGTGCTTCATATCCTCTTGAATTGCTGGGTCACTGAAGCGTCTTCCAATCAGTCTCTTTGCATCAAAGACTGTATTCTTCACATTCATCGCAATCTGGTTCTTTGCTGCATCGCCAATCAGCCTCTCGCTGTCTGTGAAGGCAACACATGATGACTTGTTCTGTTGCCCTGATCATTTGCAATTTATTAAAAATGGATTTCGCATGCCTTTTAACTATAGTATCTTTATCTCTCCAATAGTCACTAATGCATCATTCAATGCTATCAAACACTCCGCATTCGTTTTCCCGTCTTCATCCTTGACATTATCGATCACTACTAAATGAGTTGCGTGGATGAATCTAACAAGAGGTGATGGTATACTATTACAACAGTACATAAAATCTGTCTAACAAATTTTAACAGACAGTTTCTCCCCAAATTTCTTCTCCACCTACATCGAGAACTTGAATATAGCAGCCGCAAACTTCTTCTCTGTTCGATCATTGATCATAGATCTTAGTTGAGACTATCAGTAACAAGTCTCCTTCAGTTTCAAACGACTTGACATAAATCTCTTTTAAATGGTTTATCATTGTAAGACATATTTTTCTCAAAAAGTAAACTTGCTTGATTTGATAAACTTGTTAGATTTAAATTATAGTTTTCATAATATAATTAAATTTATTATAAATTAGATCTTAAAAATTAAATAATAATTATTTAGTATATTATATGATTAATATTAGTTATTGTATAATTAATTACCCATAATATTAAATTATGTATGTATTTATTAATTTAAAGTATAATTCTATTTAAATTAGAGGGTGAGGTTTAGAAAAAGGATGTCGGTTGATTCTTTAATCATTCCAATAACCCTCCTTTTTGCCCGTTCACGGTGATGGGTGGGTCGTTTTATACTTTTATTTGATATTGTTGAAAATGAATTTTATTATAGTAAAACCCCTTCCCGAAATATTACAATTTTTAAGATTGTTTTATAAATAAAAAAAACCAACCCGAAATATTTGAGCTTTTTTGACTGTTTTATATATAAAAATATTCATTTAAACAAATCGAAATAAAAATTGGTAATTAGTTTTTCAGAGCATCCCCAACATCCATGTAAGCAACTTTCTTTTCAACGCTCATGTTTGCTCTATCAAGTTGTCCAATTTTATTAAAAGATCTTTCAACTGGGCAAGTGGTTGGACTCTTAGCATTCATCTTTTTCACAAGATTGAATAAACATGGGAATTGATTCTTTTCTTCTTGACTCATCAAAGCAAACAAGGTGTTCAAAGTTAATTTTTTGACTGGGCAACTTTTTAAGAAATCTTCTGTTTTTTTGAATAAAGCCCTTATTTGCTTTCTGTGTTGAATGGCGTTTGCTCTCTTTTCTTTAACAATTTCACTACTGCTGCAATCTTCAGCGATATCCGTTGCTTCTGTTTGATCTGTACTTGTTAATCTCACTTGTTTAACAAGAGTACGTATCACCTCAGTAGCATCAGCCCTTTCTTTTCTTTTTAACCTGTTTGCAATTTCTTCGACTTTTTCAATGTTGGCACAGTACCAATCTTGAAACTTTTGAACTTCCGCTTTCAATTCTTGGTCATCACTTTCCTCGAATGATTTTGCATCAAAATTGTTGTAAATTTTGATGTTTACTACCAGTTCTTTTCCTTTGAGTTTTCTTTGTAATTTCCCGAAATTTGCCATATTCGTTCCTTTGACCTGGTTCTCCTTCAACAATCCAGCATCGAAGAGGTCTTCTTTGGTCATTTTTCTTGAAGGAATTGCAAACCTCAAAATCATCGCGTCACCCAACTTAACGAGCAGGTGAATTGAATACTTTTTCAAAATGAACTTTTCGTTGTCGTCAAGTTCATCAGTGTATTTCATTTTTTCTAAATAATCGGTTAACACCACCTTACGTCTGAGCTCGAAGATATTCGAAATTAAATCTTCAACACGTTGATAGGCCACGGGGTATAGTAAATTGGCGGTCTGTAGCCAATCGTTAATTATCTTCACCTTACTGAGCACTATTTGAGTAAAGAACATACACGCAACAAACAATTTGCAGTTGACATTACATTCACCCATAATGTTGCGAGGTCCAAAAGGCTTTTGGTATTGTTCTCTGTCACTGTAAAATTCTTGAAGTGAAGGCAGATTCTCAAACATATTATCAAGAATCAATACTGTTTGGAGCCACCTTGTTTCGGATCGTTGAACCAATTTGAGAACTGCACCTTTGATATGATTTTTGGCACAGAATTGATCCCACGCTGTTCTTGTTGTCTGAACTGTTAACCCGTCCAAGAAACTTTCAATAGCCAGCCCCCATTGCGATTCAAAACACTTTTCAGTCGCTTTATTTGTTTTATGTGAAAAGCAGTAGTTTGAATCAAATCCGTTCAGCCCGTCTCTCTCTTTAATTTTAGCCAGGAATTTACCAGAGAGCCCACCATTTCGTATCAGAACATAAGCTCCATCAAAACAAGCACCAATGCATTTGATCAGGTCAGCATCCATCAATTCCAATATTTTCATTATCCAACTGAGCCACCCCGCCGCATCTGTTTTGCCGTCATAGTTTTCAATTTTGACTCTCTTTTCAACAAATGATCCATCTGAAAACACAAATCTTACAAAGAGAGAAAAGTACTCAACCCCACTATACATTGCAGAATCCGCCATTAATGTATAATAGTCACACTGCTTAAAGATTAGTTGTAGGTCATATCTGGATTTTTTCGAAATTAACATAAATCTCCGTTGCATAGTTGAAGAACTCATAGCAGTGTTAACGACTTTTTAGGAACATTGGACATTAGTAATATTATGGATATCAATTTTGACATAGCATCAATTTGATTATTTGTCAACCCACACGCTCCCATCATCAATGCAGCCATCATCGTTATAAAGCTGCCTCTTTCATTTCCAGCATCATTTGTTGTTGAATAACTATCAACATTTTTACCAAGTCGCCTTTGTACTTCTTTGTTTGTTTCTTGTGCGATGTACTCGGCGGAGTATTTATTCTCTGGTTTGAGGAGCTCATTAATGTGTTTCATTTTTTTCCAATTGTTCGATCTCAAACACAGTGAATTTTATTTCTTCTTTGGTCGAATCGTTGGTATTTTGAGATTCGTTGTCGGTAGCCTGGCTATAATCAACATGTGTCGCATTTCTTGTTTGAATTGTTGGAGGAGTCGGAATATAATTTGTAATAGCAGGAGTTTTTAATAAAGTTCCAGAGTCCACAATACCAGTTGAATTTTTTGAAACAACATCTTCACAATTAATAATAGGAACATCAAAACTTTTACTGATATTGTCGAGTGCCTCTTGTGTTGACTCGCTGTGTAAAACAGAAATATTCATTTGGAAATTTTGATAATCGACGAGTGGAAGAACACGAACATTTTCTTTCAATCCTTTCAATAAATATTTCTTGAGGTCTTCAAATGTAGTGTAACTTGTTTGTCTCAATTGTGACTCAAGTTCATTCCTCACTTTCAATAAATCGGCACCTCTATAAATATTTGGCGAGAGGCCCATTTCATTATCTGTCAAACCACTTGATTTATTTTTTTTCTTCTTCGACAAGCTGACTATTGAGCTCAATCAAATTAAATTTGTCAAAATTCTCATCAAAAAATTTAAAATTGTGAACACTTTTAAATTTGTATGTTTCTTCGGGTTTTGCTTCCAAAGAGTGTTTCATGTATTTACGTCTATTAAACATTTTTCCACAGAAAATACAAAAATGGAAATCACGTAGACGATTTTCAGGAAGTTGCGTTTTCAATTCAAAAGTAAAGTAATTGCGGAACTCTTCAAAACCTTTGTTGATATTTGAGTCTTGCATATGTTTGTTATTTTTAAGATTTTAAAGACAATAAAATACAAAAAGTAGTATATTTTATATATTTATAGTATTGGTTTTAACAATTGTATTTATTTTTATTATATAATTTGATTGTGTTTTCATTAAAAATTATATATTATAAATATTTTAATATATCATAAAATACAAATATTATAATAAATATATGTAATTTTCTTTTGGACTATATTTACTTGGATATACTATAAATTATAAAATCACATATTATAATTTTTTATATTGAATATAACTTAAAATTAGTAATAATCATATTTAGGATAAAAAGACAATTGTTAAATTTTGGTAAATAAAAGGAATAATCATGTTTTTAAAGTGGTAAAGATAAGTTGAATTTGAAAATTCACCAAAATGCTCAACTTTAGTTATACACGACTTGAAAACTCGTTGAAAAAAAAAATCATGCAAAATGTTATTTAACTACTTTTTGTTTTTTATTGTGGTATGTATGTGATTATAAACATGATAATTCAGTTATTTTATCAAATTGTTTTTAGACTAGTCTATATAATCAGACTCAATTTTATAAAAATAAGTTTATTAGTAAATTTCATTAATTATTTTATTTACTATATTACAAAATAAGTTTAGATTATAAAAATTTTAATAAAACAATATACAGTCATGCGAAAAAGCTGTCTCGTTTGGAAAAACCTGTCTCGGGTGGTAATGAACTATTCTAGTACTATAAACAAATGATCTGAAATAGAAAATGTTATTTGGAAATGCCGAATATTTTTATTCGATTTTTGTGAAATGACCCTGCAAATAAATCGAATAAAAGCTATACTGTATAGTAAGTAATTATAAATTTACTATAAA